GGAATGGATACCTTCGTCGCTCACGTGAAGCTGCTCAAATGCTGGCGCGGGAAAAGTGAGCGGTGGAAGCTTGCGTGCGCTAACTTCATGCAGTCGCCGCTCGCCAGCACGCCGCTTGACTTATCACGGGAGGAAGTGGCGAGGGAAAGGATCGTTTTCAATCGCCATATCCTGATGAAAGGCACGACCCCGGTGGGCAGCCAGAAAGCCGCGGAGAAATTGTGGGAGGTGCGTTTGGGAGACCTGCTGACTGCGGGCGGTGACGGGAGTTGGCATGTAAAGGATGATAAAACCCTAGCGAGGGAGCTCGGTGGCTCAAAGCAGGCGAAACTTGCTCTACGGGCGTGGGAAGCAGCACCGCAGAGCTGGAAGCTGCTTCTCCTCTCAGCCGAGCAATCTGGCGCACCTGCCACCCAGCTCCGCACTCCGCTCCAGCGCACAGCGGCTTTCAGTGGCGGGGGGCTACCATCGCTGAAGGAGCTGAAAGGGAACTGGCAACAGCCGAAACATCAATCAGCCAAACGGGAGCTCTGGGCGGGCAGATGGGCAGGAGTTATCGACTGGAAAAGGGTTGTGAAAAATCGGGACTCGCTGGTGACACCGAACCGACCGCGTGATGTGCTGCTGAGAATCCACAGTCTCAACCTCCAAGTGGGAGAAAGGCTTTCTTTCTTGAGTGGAAAGCCGATCTGCCCGCACTGCGGGGAGTTTGAGACCCTTGAACACTGCCTCTACACCTGTCCAAGAATCCAAACGGTGGTGGGGGCAGTTCGGAAGGCTCTGCGCATGCTGAATCCGACAAGGCAAGTTGACAGCTTGGGTGACATACTGTTTGGCAATACCGCTTCCACCTCAGCTTTTCCGGAAGCGTCTCTCTCGGCAATTGCAATACACCAGATTTGGACAGAGCGGTGCGATTGCGTGTTTCGAGGCAAGAGATTTCGAGCCAGACGGGTACTGAGGAGGATTGAAGCAGCTTTCAAGCTACATGTGCGGGTGTATACTCGGGCAACAGGGAAAAAGCTGGGCATGAAGGGCAATTTGAAACAGAGCGGGAAGACGTACGCGCTGGCAGATCAGGAGTGTCGGCTCCTTGGACGTATCCGGACTCTGGAAGGCAAAGGCTAGAAATGGTCCCGTCACTTTGGCGCGCTATGGAATCTTGCGCGAGGGGCACTACATCCCCCTTAGAGTCATCCCTTGAGGCAGGCGCGCTGCCGGGCCTCTCACGCTCAGTTACGACTGCTATATGTTTGTGTGCACTAGCATCATCGGTGTATATTTAACATATAATAATAATAATAAAAAAAATCATCCTGTGAAGCGAAGTTGATGGGTGGCTTGAAGCTGTTGTGTTATGAGAGGTGCAATATGGTTCCTATCGACATCCAAACGTTTTACCGGGTTAACATTTGACTTTTGGTTTCTTGCTCGGAAAAGCGACAACGCGACCAAAACTGCTTCAATCTCCTCAACCCTGTCTAGCCGAACCAGACCTAGCGGTACCGCAATTCTCCACAGCCACTTGTGGTTCTGTTGCACTGCTTCTCCTCGTTCTAGTGCTGTGTCTTGTTAAAGCCCAAGACCCGAATTAAAAAAAAAAAAAAGGGCAAACTGTGCACAGTTTGCCTACCGAACTCACAGTTGACCTCCCGAGCCAGGCAAGTTACCACAAAGGATCGCATACAAAAAACACTGAGTCGTTCAGCAGAACAGGTTTGGTTGGCGATAGTCCCAACAACACCCTCCACAAGGAACATCCGCTCAAAGTGTGCACAGTTTGCCCTTCACGTAATTCAGGTCGTGCCCATCCTCATAGTACTCTTAGATTCAATCTAGCAGAATAAAACGACAATATAGCATAGGACACGAGCACTTCCACATTCATTCCGAGACCCTTAGAACTCCAGGCGTATCTATCCTACGGCAAAAGTAGAAACCCCAACGGGATTGCGGTTGCCAAGTCGCTCGCACCACCCCCCTCCGTGCGGAATCGGACACAGATTGAACTTATATGGGTAGTAGCGGCATTAATGGCTTCATCGCGTGACCCTTCGCGTAAGAAAGCAGCGGAACGCGCACGCGTGGTAGATTTTAAAAGCAACAAACACCTTCACGTACGGGCCAGCCGACCGAATTTCCCGGCATCTTACGATAGAGGAGCCGAATGCCATCAGAACGACGATGGGAGCGAAAACGAGCAGAACAATGACTACGGCGAGAACACGCCACTGCAGTGACTCATTCCGAATGGAAGATTGCGCGTCCAATCTCCTCTCATTGCGTCGCGCTAAAACTCGTTACAACTTCGAAGGCGCTTAGATCCCGTCATTTCGAAACTTGTTCTTGAACCACTTCTACCCTAACTCCCTCTCCCATCGGCCTAACATACATGTCTTTCGCGAAACCACGGCGTCAGTCCGCGATTTTTAAAAAGTCCCTGACTTTATCGAATGTCGGTCCAGCCAGATGCAGGTCAGTAGTTCTGCAGTAATCCGCCAATTTCGTACCGGAATAAGCACGCCATTTCGCGACCGTCCAGAGAAGCGTCGCGAACGCCTCCCCCCACCGTCGCCCACGGTTCCACCCACCGTCGCCCACGCTTCCCCCCACCGTCGCCCACGCTTCCCCCCACCGTCGCCCACGCTTCCTCCCACCGTCACCCACGCTTCCCCCCACCATCGCCCACGCTTCCCCCCACCGTCGCCCACGCTTCCCCACACCGCCCACGCTTCCTCCCACCGTCGCCCACGTTTCCTCCTACCTTCATCCACGCTACCCCCCACCGTCGCCCACGCTTCCCCCCACCGTCACCAAGTCGTCCCCCCACCGTCGCCCACGCTTCCCACCACCGTCGCCAAGTCGTCCCACCACCGTCGCCCACGCTTCCCACCACCGTCGCCCACGCTTCCCCTCCCATCGTCCGCCCTGTCGCCTGGAAATTTCCCTCCCCGCCGAGGTCTCTTCCCTCCCACCTCTCTCCACGTCGTCATCACTCCCCTGCCTGTCACGTTCCCCCTCTTCATCACCATCGCTTCTCCACCTGCGCCGCCCACTCTCTCATCCGTGCCTATCGTCTTTAGGTTCGTTGTTGCTTCCCTTCCCATTGCCGCATTTGGTCGCTCTCGCACTCCCCATTGCCACCTTCTCTACTCCTACCACCCCACCCTTGCAACCTCCTTTCCTTCTCTCTCATTCTCCCTCCCTCCCTGCCTCTCACCCACCCTGGCCGCGGACGTATGGCGGGCCGGTCTCGAGCGCTGGGGATGGGGTCGTGACTCGTTCGCGGTGGGATGTGGGAGGGTGCGTGGTCTTGGGCCCCTACCCTTCTCTGTCTTGCACCAACCCCGCACGCATGGCAGGTGCTGCTGCGGCTTTGGAGCAGAGCGCAGGGCGCACAGCCGCGGCAACGCGTGCGGTCGGGCAGCAAGGGGCGCAGTGCTGCAGGGGGCACGGCAGGGGAGCGGGGGAGCGGGGCAGGGAGGGCGGTGTTTCGCGTGGCAGGGGAGGCGGAGGGGAGGGAGAATTGGGTCCAGGAATCCTCCTATCCCCCGTTCCACCCTTATACCCTGCCCTCCTGACTGGCTCTGTTCGTTCGTTCCCCCACAGTCGTCCTCCCCTCCCTTCTCCGTTGTGAAGGCACCGCTGCAGGTGGACGGAGTGACGTCGCACGTGACGCGGGAATGGGTGGGCTACCCGCATGCGATGTGCATGGATATGCCCAGCACGTCCGCGTTCCACTCATCCTTCCTTCATCTCATCATCCCTTCCTCTCATCCTCCTCTCCTCTTATCCTCCCTCCCTCTCATCCTCCCTTCCTCTAATCCTCTCTTTCTCTCATCCTCCCTTCCTCTCATCCTCCTTTCCTCTCACCCTCTCTTCCTCTCCTCCTCCCTTCCCTTCTTCCGCCCTTCCTCTCATCCTTCCTTCCTCTCATCCGCCCTTCCTCTCATCCTTCCTTCCTCTCATCCACCCTTCCTCTCGTCCTCCCTCCCCCTCATCCGCCCTTCCTCTCGTCCTCCCTTCCTCTCGTCCTTCCCCCCCCTCATCCGCCCTTCCTCTCGTCCTTCCCCCCCCTCATCCGCCCTTCCTCTCATCCGCCCTTCCTCTCATCCGCCCTTCCTCTCATCCGCCCTTCCTCTCATCCGCCCTTCCTCTCATCCTCCCTTTCTCTCATCCTCCCTTCCTCTCATCCTCCCTTCCTCTCATCCTCCCTTCCTCTCATCCTCCCTTTCTCTCATCCTCCCTTCCTCTCATCCTCCCTTTCTCTCATCCTCCCTTCCTCTCATCCTCCCTTTCTCTCATCCTCCCTTCCTCTCATCCTCCCTTCCTCTCATCCTCCCTTTCTCTCATCCTCCCTTTCTCTCATCCTCCCTTCCTCGCATCCTCCCTTCCTCTCATCCTCCCTAACTCTCATCCTCCCTTCCTCTCATCCTCCCTTCCTCTCATCCTCCCTTCCTCTCATCCTCCCTTCCTCTCATCCTCCCTTCCTCTCATCCTCCCTTGTATGCAAGAAGCCATGTTACTTACCACCGTTCTGGAACATGCTCTGTATATTGTTTTGATTCATAGTAGGCGTATGTACACTGATATGAAGGGAACTACAGCAGCCATCTCTGTTCAAATTAGCCAATGTGAATGGTTTAAGCTTGCAAACTGGGAGTGTTTTGTAATACACAATGAAGTTTGGAGGTGCAAAACTCAGAGTTGTCCATGACTTTCATGTTTACATTGTTGAGGTCTCAGGCATGCCGACGTAGAGAGGGTTTTATGCCTTGCAATGTCAGCAATATTGTTATCCGGTAGCGCATCCAACGGAAACGTGGAGAGTTCAAAATATGAGGGACCATGAGACGCGAGGGTTTGAAGACGGGCATGCACTGTAGATGTACGACCGCAACATTGAGAACGCGAGTGGATTGCGTCAGTATCTGCAATTGCTGGGACGTGAAAGGGCGAGGGAAGAGGGGGTTGGGATGGTAGCAAACAAGGAAAGAATGTCAAATGGCAAACAGAGAATGAAAATGTTGTGGAGGGGGAGGGGGGATGAGAGGAACGGAGGATGAGAGGAACGGCGGATGAGAGGGAGGGATGATGAGATGAAGGGATGACGAGAGGGAGGGAGGACGAGAGGAAGGGAGGACGAGAGGAAGGGAGGATGAGAGGGAGAGAGGTAGAGAGGAAGGGAGGACGAGAGGAAGGGAGGATGAGAGGAAGGGAGGATGAGAGGAAGGGAGGATGAGAGGAAGGGTGGATGAGAGGAAGGGCGGATGAGGGGGAGGGAGGACGAGAGGAAGGGTGGATGAGAGGAAATGAGGATGAGAGGGAGAGTGGAAGTGAGGAAGGGAGGATGAGAGGAAGGGAGGACGAGAGGGAGAGAGGAAAAGAGGAAGGGAGGACGAGAGGAAAGGAGGATGAAAGGAAGGGCGGACAAGAGGAAAGGAGGATAAGAGAAATGGAGGATGAGAGGATGGGATGATGAGATGAAGGGAGGATGAGAGGAAGGGAGGATGAGAGGAAGGGCGGATGAATGGGAGAGAGGATGAGAGAAAGAGAGGTTGAGAGGAAGGGAGGATGAGAGGAAGGGAGGATGTGAGGAAGGGAGGATGTGAGGAAGGGAGGATGAGAGGGAGGGAGGACGAGAGGGATGGAGGACGAGAGGAAGGGAGGATGAGAGGAAGGGAGGATGAGAGGAAGGGTGGATGAGTGGAAGGAAGGATGAGAGGAAGGGCGGATGAGAGGAAGGGAGGATGTGAGGAAGGGAGGATGAGAGGAAGGGCGGATGTGAGGAAGGGAGTATGTGAGGAAGGGAGGACGAGAGGAAGGGAGGATGAGAGGGAGAGTGGAAGTGAGGAAGGGAGGATGAGAGGAAGGGAGGATGAGAGGGAGAGAGGAATAGAGGAAGGGAGGACGAGAGGAAAGGAGGATGAAAGGAAGGGCGGACAAGAGGAAAGGAGGATAAGAGAAATGGAGGATGAGAGGATGGGATGAAGGGAGGATGAGAGGAAGGGAGGATGAGAGGAAGGGCGGATGAATGGGAGAGAGGATGAGAGAAAGAGAGGTTGAGAGGAAGGGAGGATGAGAGGAAGGGAGGATGTGAGGAAGGGAGGATGTGAGGAAGGGAGGATGAGAGGGAGGGAGGACGAGAGGAAGGGAGGACGAGAGGAAAGGAGGATGAGAGGAAGGGCGGATGAGAGGAAGGGCGGATGAGGGGGAGGGAGGACGAGAGGAAGGGTGGACGAGAGGAAGGGTGGATGAGATGAAGGGAGGATGAGAGGGAGAGAGGAAGAGAGGAAGGGAGGACGAGAGGAAAGGAGGATAAGAGAAAAGGAGGATGAGAGGATGGGATGATGAGATGAAGGGAGGATGAGAGGAAGCGAGGATGAGAGAAAGAGAGGTTGAGAGGAAGGGAGGACGAGTGGAAGGGAGGATGAGAGGAACGGCGGATGAGAGGGAGGGAGGATAAGAGGAAGGGCGGATGAATGGGAGAGAGGATGAGAGAAAGAGAGGTTGAGAGGAAGGGAGGATGAGAGGAAGGGAGGATGTGAGGAAGGGAGGATGTGAGGAAGGGAGAATGAGAGGGAGAGAGGAATAGAGGAAGGGAGGACGAGAGGAAAGGAGGATGAAAGGAAGGGCGGACAAGAGGAAAGGAGGATAAGAGAAATGGAGGATGAGAGGATGGGATGATGAGATGAAGGGAGGATGAGAGGAAGGGAGGATGAGAGGGAGAGAGGAAGAGAGGAAGGGAGGACGAGAGGAAAGGAGGATAAGAGAAAAGGAGGATGAGAGGATGGGATGATGAGATGAAGGGAGGATGAGAGGAAGCGAGGATGAGAGAAAGAGAGGTTGAGAGGAAGGGAGGACGAGTGGAAGGGAGGATGAGAGGAACGGCGGATGAGAGGGAGGGAGGATAAGAGGAAGGGCGGATGAATGGGAGAGAGGATGAGAGAAAGAGAGGTTGAGAGGAAGGGAGGATGAGAGGAAGGGAGGATGTGAGGAAGGGAGGATGTGAGGAAGGGAGGATGAGAGGAAGGGAGGACGAGAGGAAAGGAGGATGAGAGGAAGGGAGGATGAGAGGAAGGGTGGATGAGAGGAAGGGCGGATGAGGGGGAGGGAGGACGAGAGGAAGGGTGGACGAGAGGAAGGGTGGACGAGAGGAAGGGTGGATGAGATGAAGGGCGGATGAGGGGGAGGGTGGACGAGAGGAAGGGCGGATGAGATGAAGGGCGGATGAGAGGAAGGGCGGATGAGATGAAGGGCGGATGAGATGAACGGAGGATGAGAGGGTGAGTGGAAGAGAGGGCGACGGGATGGGAAATGAGGGCGACGGGAAGGGAAATGAGGGCGACGGGAAGGGAAATGAGGGCGACGGGAAGGGGACTGAGGGCGACGTGCAGGGAAATGAGGGCGACGGGAAGGGAATTTAGGGCGACGGGAAGGGAAATGATGGGCGAAGGGAAGGGAAATGAGGGCGACGGGAAGGGAAATGAGGGCGACGGGAAGGGAAATGAGGGCGACGGGAATGGAAATGAGGGCGACGGGAAGGGGGATGAGGGCGACGGGAAGGGAATTGAGGGCGACGGGAAGGGAAATGAGGGCGAAGGGAAGGGAAATGAGGGCGACGGGAAGGGAAATGAGGGCGACGGGAAGCTGAAATGAGGGCGACGGGAAGCTGAAATGAGGGCGACTCGAAGCTGAAATGAGGGCGACGGGAAGCTGAAATGAGGGCGACGGGAAGCTGAAATGAGGGCGACGCTGAAACTAGGGCGACGGGAAGCTGAAATGTGGGCGACGGGAAGCTGAAATGTGGGCGACGGGAAGCTGAAATGTGGGCGACGGGAAGCTGAAATGTGGGCGACGGGAAGCTGAAATGAGGGCGACGGGAAGCTTCTCACCATGCGATATATGAAAGGCGGGCGCGAGAAAACGGCGGGGAGGGGATGGTGACGGCAGGGCGGGAGGCCAGATGCTGAGAGCGCCTCTAGCGCGTGGGAGTCTATTCGGCACCGACGAACGGCGTAAGAAAGCTACGCATTGCAGACGACAGATACTTCCGCCCTGTGACCTATGGGAAGCGAGCGTTGTCGAGTGCCCGTGTATTAGCTTATATTTTTTATCTAGCAGAATAAAACGCCACTTTAGCCCTCGATGTGTCTCGCTACCCCACGTGCGCATTGGCTATAGCACGTCATTGCTATCCTCTCAGCAAACATCGCACTTCACCGGTACAGTCCACACCCAAATTCGCTCCCTTAGGCTCTTCCGCGTTCCTCTAGAATCTAAGGTCGCGCCCTGCTGACACGGAATAAACAACTAATATGTTTGTTCGAGTGCATGTGTGCCTGCTCAAACTGTGCACAGTTTCCCTGGCACGTTGCTTCTCAGGTTTGTCGCATTTGGGAAGAAGGGCCCTGCCTGCTTTTTACAACCACTCAGCACTTCCAAAGTTTGTGGCGAACTGCTTTCAGTCGCAAACTGTTTTTGAGGCTTCGCCTGTCACTCAACCCATCCGAACCTCCAACTGCCAGCCTGCCGAACCTATCAATACTCAGTTGACTTCCGTTGAGTAATTCAGGTCTTGGGCTTTAAATGTATTGAAGCTTGTCTGTACTCAGCTGAAGTCACGCGCGCACGTCAACTCATGCCTGATGATGGCCCCTCCACAGGCGGGATGTGTTCAAAAGGTTCGTTGTGAAGCTGGGCGGGCTCCTCCACTCCACTACCCTCCCCCACCCCACTGCCTCACACAAGCCATAAGCTTCTTCTAGCTTCTTGTTGGCGGGAAATCGGTCCATAAACTGCTCCACCAATCACCCTAATGCAAACACCCACAAACCATTGTTTGCAGGCTCCAGCACATCACGCACACACGCGTCGAATGGCAAGTAGTCTTGACTGTTTTAGATCAGGCGGACGACGACTTTCCTTTCCTCCCGTCCGACAGCTGGATTTTCAGGCCCGTCACGAGTGTCGAACCGCGAACGCGTTAGGCGAGAAGCCACTGTGTGCCGACGCGGCTGGAATTGCTGCACCGCTGTATCTGCCATCATACACCGACCTCCTCAGAACCAATGGCCAGGGCGGCCGGTCGCACGCGCCTCAGGCTAAGTCCAGAGTTCAGGCTCCAAAATTCAAACCTAGCGAAGGTCAGCGGTGTTACTCGCGTTAGTATTTCTCCTGTTTGACCTTACGGGCTTGCACACCAGCTTCGTTCGTAAACACGTAAAAGGCGGTCCCTCAGTTGACATAGGAGACATTCGAGTTCTATTTGTTCATTTGTTTCTGTTTTCAGCAAAAGCGTGAATAAGCTGTTCCCCTAATAGGCTCGCTTACCAGTTCAGAAATAGTTACTGATACACTCGTGACGCCTTCAAACTGAGGTTGTGGTACCTCCAGTTGCAACTCATGGGATCCTTGATCGTACGCTTACCGACAGAGCTTTCATCAGCTCCCACCGCTATTGCTGCTGCTACATCCCCTCTGATTCTCCCAATGGGACAAAACACGGCGCCGACTCTCCGCGACCCGCGGCGGCGCAACTCCGTAACGGCCGTATCGCAGTTCGAGGTCCTCCCCTGCCAGACAGACGTGGTGCTTCGCGGCGCCGCCGGCGGTGCCTCAGAGTCCGAGTCGGCGGAGTTAAATGATTCCGCCGGCGACGCATCATCCGATCATGTACCCTCGGAGGATGTCATGTCAGTCGGCCGTCGTTTTTCAAACATCAACCTTCGTCTGGAAATGTGGAACCTCGGTACGGGAAGCTCCGCTAGTACTACAAAGCACCAACGTACCTCCCCTCTCGGCGCGCGGCCCGCGCGCTCCCGGAGTTCTCCGATCATCGCGACGCCTGAGGATGCTTCATCTCTTGCACCCGAAAACACGAATATTCCGTCTGCCAAATATTCCGCGGCTGAAACGTCTGGTGATGCTCTTCCATCGGCGGAGGTTGCGGCTGCTCGCTGTCAAGCCCGACCGGCGCAGCTTGAAGTGGCGGGTTATGAGTCACTTGAATTATCACCAACCACACGGAGGACATTAAAGACACAGGAGATGCGGGAGACGCGGGAGACACTGGAAAAGCGAGGGAGTGTTCCTGAGAGGGCTGCGGGATTAGAAGCAGCTACAAGCCGGAGAAGCCTGTCACGCTGGCAGAGCGTTCCTTCTTTGGCAACCCTAAATTCTCCCGTGCCACGACATGCGTCGCCGCGGTGGCCAGTACTATCCGAGGCATCGCAGCCTGGAACCATCAGCGGGTCCGTTTCACCAGCGGCCGTCTCCTCGTACGGACGACGCTTTCAAACCACTATCGGAGTCTCGGATCCAGTTCGTGTTGGAACGCCGCCAACATCCCGCCCAGCGTCAGCTATGGTTCGCGGCGCGACACTATCTAGAGCTGCTTCGTCCGAGCCTACGAGTAACGTGTTCGTGTGGGCCGCTCAGCAGCGCATCGCGCGTCACAGATCCGCTTTGCAATAATTGTATCATACTCGTAGCCCATGGTGCGATTTAGGAGGCGAGAACCGCGGAGCTCGTGGTTGAGGCCAACATTAATAATGAACGTACATATTATGTAATGAAACACCCTTTTAATTATTGACGTTCTTTTATTATGGATGTTCAGGCTGGTGAGTAGCGGTTCAAAGTGGTGATGAGATAAGACCACTCTGGACTGTGCGATATCGAACTCAACCGCTTGTGTAATTGACTTTTGGGTCCGGGCCCCAGTGGAGAGAGGATGCTCTTTGAAATGCAATAATTTATGCCACCTCCATAAAAAACTCCAGTGGCTCTGTACCGTATTCCACCACAGCATCACCTCACCACCAGTACCTGGTTTATCTCCTAACCTGTGGGCACGTGGAGGTCAGCAGTCTGACATGGCAAGCTCGTACTCGCTGCATTCCAGCAAAGGTTGCTTGCAGCGGCGAGGTCGGCGTGCTGGAAGATGTCGCCGCGTTTCGCACAGCTCCGTGACGACGAACCCAGCAGTCTTCGTCGTTGTAACCTAGGCATCGTCATCTAGCGCAGAAGCTTCGCTTGTGTCAGGGAGTGTTCGCGAACACCTCTCTGCGATTTAAAAGCGACGCTGTCCGACAGAATCATAGGTCATGGCAACACCAATTCCCAGAGATTCCAGTTCGCAGAGCGTCAAAGGCTTATGACGAACATTTACATCCATTTTCAAGGAAGTCATGCTAATAGCTAAGCTTGAGATAGCGAAGCAGTAGGATACTGGTCTGGGCATCTAGCGTAGTTGCTTGCTCGTTATGAGGCGTCAAGTCGTTACGGGAACCGATTAATTCGGTCGAAGTGCAATCTGCTTTGCTCCTGCAGTCATTACGCACGACAACTTCATTTCTGACATGGCCCAGCATACGTCTCGCGTGTGTTTGGAGATTTCCCAACCCTCTGCAGAAGTGCACTTTCGCTGAAGGATCCGAGGCTAGGTGCGATTGGGGATTATTGCAATAGCCACAGCCACAGCCAGACACGGTTGGCGAGTGGTAGCTCACTCCATCGTGCGCGTAGTAGTGGTTGTTACTATATTTTGATACCACCCATTTCTTATCTGGCACGGCTTTCTGAGTCGATTTTTGAGAGGTAGCCATTGCTTCGTGCGCGTGAATGTGTCGCTTTGGTCTAGTTGCATGAACCGAGCCTAGCGCCATGAATCAAACCTGGAGCTTGAACCGAGCCTAGCACAATCAACCGAGCCAAGCGGCATAACCCGAGTCTAGCGCCATGAACCCTGTAGCCTCAGACGTCCTTCGCCGAATCACAGACGGAGGTGCAGCTCCCATGATCGACGGCCGACAAGGGCTCATCGACGGTCGGCCAGCACTGATCGACGGCCATCCTGCGCTGATCAACGGCCACGAGCCAACGATCGGCTTCCATCGGGACTGGCAAGCTGGCGGCGCAGCAGGAGGAGGAGGGGGTGCGGTAGGAGGAGTTTTGGATCGGGGAGGATTTGCTGGGGAAGGTGGGGGAGGGTTGGCTGGGGAAGGTGTTATCTGGAAGCAGTCTCTCCGATGGCTGGCTTCGTTAGGGTCGGGAATACGGCGCTTCATCGAGGAGTGTATCCCCGCTATAGCGGTGGCTGGGACCCATTGTATACCCGATATAGGGAGAACGAGGAAGTGCATATCAGACCCGTTAAAGGTGACCAACTGGGTGATGGCGGGAATCGACGGCGTTATCTGGATCACCGCGCTGGTTCAGGTGAGTCATCTATCATCTGGACCGTTCAATAATGCACCGTTCAGGTGAGGCATGTGTCGTCTGGACCGTTCGATAATGCAGTGCTCAGGTGAGGAAAGAGGTCTGTACGGGTACGGGCCATGAACACGGATGGATCATGCCGTGAGACATGCAATGAAGACATGCAGCGAGACATGCATTGAGATATGCATTGACTCTTGCTGAAACCACCCATCAGACTCTTGATGAATACATCATCATTCACTGTTTAATGCATGACACGCTGGAAACGATTGACCCACGTTTTCATGCCCAGCCCCTTCCCGGCTTTCCCTTCCCCCCATGCTCGCCTGCAGCTCATTCGCATCTGCCGCCATGTGCAGAACGGCAAGTGGACGCGCCAAAAGGTAGGCGCTGGTGGAGATGGGCATGCGCCATCTTATCCATCCTATCCTCCATCCCATAAACTCCCCATCCCATGAACTCCCCATCCCATGAACTCTTCATCCCATGAACTCCCCATTCCATGATCCCCCAACTTTGAAATCCCCATGAACACCCCATCTCATAAATCTTCCATCTTATGAAACCCCCATCCAATGAACGCCCCAACCCGTGAATTCCCCATCCCATGCACACCCCCAAAAGTGCTGCGAGCCCACGCCTTCCTCACATGGACATATGTAGCATTGTCGATATTTTTTTGAGAAAGTTTGTCCGCAAAGCCCATCCAGCACATGTGCTTGGCACATCTATCCCCTCCCGTGTGCCCTCACTCACTCATGTTGCCCGAGTGAATTCTCACACGCACATGTGTCCGTCCCATCACCTCGTTTTTCTCTCTCACATGCCTTGTCATTGCGGTGACTCCCCGCCACAGGTCTTCCACACCATGGTCTTCGCAGCAAACCTTGGTGAGTCTTGAGTCCGTGGTGATGAACACAAGTATCCGTGTGGCATTGCATGGCGATTCACATGAGCCTTGAGTTTGTGGCATTGCATGGCGATTCACATGAGCCTTGAGTCCGTGGCATTGCATGGCGATTCACATGAGCCTTGAGTCCGTGGCATTGCATGGCGATTCACATGAGCCTTGAGTCCGTGGCATTGCATGGCGATTCACATGACACATGTCGCATGTGCCCCACCGGTTTTCCCTTCACACCATGCCATGCTCCTTGCTGCAAGGTTTGGTGAGGGGAGAGGAGGATGAGGCAGATAGGTGAGTCTCTTCCCAACCTTCACCCATCTGCCTGCCTCATCCTCCTCCCCCCTCCCCCCTCCCCCCCTCCCCCCCTCCCCCCTCCCCCCTCCCCCTCACAGCCTGCTGCATCTATTTCGTCACCAACCTCTTTGCCTCCTGCTCCCAATGGCTCTGCTGTTCCCATGCCTGCAGCTACGACCTCTTTTCCCGACTTGACCCATCTACCGCCTCCCCCTCTCCCTCACAGGCTACTGCATCTATTTTGTCGTCAACCCCTTCGCCTCCTGCTCCCAATGGCTCTGCTGGTCCCATGCCTGCAGCTTCATTGCTCTCGGTGCGTCCCTGCTGTCCTGCTGTCCTCTTTTGCTGCACTCCTCCTCCTCCTCCTCCTCCTCCTCCTCCTCCTCCTCCTCCTCCTCCTCCTCCTCCTCCTCCTCCTCCTCCTCCTCCTCCTCCTCCTTGGGAGACTGCAAACGGCTGAGCCTTTTCGCCCAAGGACTGTGGCCCATACTGCAGTGCCCCATCTCTCTCTATGTGCATGCTCCCATGTGCATGCTCCCATGTACACATGCTCCCTGTGTGTTCTGCATCATTTTTTTGTAACTTCCATTTCCGTGAAAATCGTTTGTTTGTTGTTGAACCATGAGTGCAGCTCTCCCTGTGTTCCTGCTTGCGTGCGTGGCTTGTATTGATGTTACTGCTGCCTTACCTGTCAGTGGCTGCTGCTCAAATCCGTGTGTGCCCTTGGGTGCTTTCTGTGCATTGCAGCCATACCGCAAATCATCTTCCTCGCAACCTTTTTGCTGCTCCTCTCCTTCTGGTATGACTGCCACAGCATGGCATGGCATGGCACTGCATGGCATGCCACAGCATGGCATGGCACGAGAGGGCATGGCACAATGGGGCATGGCACAATGGGGCATGGCACAATGGGGCATGGGGCAATGGGGCATGGCGCAATGGGGCATGGCACAATGGGGCATGGCGCAATGGGGCATGGCGCAATGGGGCATGGCGCAATGGGGCATGGCACAATGGGGCATGGCGCAATGGGGCATGGCGCAATGGGGCATGGCACAATGGGGCATGGCGCAATGGGGCATGGCGCAATGGGGCATGGCGCAATGGGGCATGGCGCAATGGGGCATGGCACAATGGGGCATGGCGCAATGGGGCATGGCACAATGGGGCATGGCGCAATGGGGCATGGCACAATGGGGCATGGCGCAATGGGGCATGGCGCAATGGGGCATGGCGCAATGGGGCATGGCACCACACCCCCCTCCCCTCAATTTCGTAACCCCTTTGCATCAGATTGCATGGCTGGCGGGCATGTGTCTGCTCTGCTTCTCCCTCCGTGCATTCATTGTCCTCGCTAAATACATCCCGGTCAGTCCCCGGTCAGCCAAGTACTCATGGTAAGCCTCGGCCAAGTACTCATGATAACCCTCAGCCAAGTACTCATGGTAACCCTCAGACTTTTGAGGCGCCTCAAAAGTCGACTTTTGAGGCGCCTCAAAAGTCGTCTCATGTCTCGCAGTTTTTATGTGGGGAGAATTATAATTGCATGGAAGTGTGCACGTAACCTTCAGCGGTTACTCGTAAGGGCGCGGTTACCAAAGTCACTCGCCAATGCTGTCGAAGAAGTTCCCGAAGGCTGACTTGGCACCCTGAATTTGTTTCATTGCCTAGTTGGCGAACCCCTTTCCTAGTTGGATTCTGGGTAGTTGGGTTTCTTATACGTAGATCTCGAGGGTAGTCTAGCTATTTTAGCTGCTACCAGACTCTCTGTTTCTGAGTTCCGAATTGTGCTGTACTGATGAAGGCGTGATTGGGTTCGCCCATCCGCCGAAACTAGTTTACGCAAGGAGGCTTTTCGGAAGCTAAGGGTTTTTTCAGATCTGCGTTTTTCTCACCTTTTTTCACTGTTTGATTCCTTTGCTTAAGCGTCCTCTCTACTACTGCAGCCCTTCGAAACATGAGTCAGGGTGACCCTTGGGATACCGAATGGTTTCCAGAAAACGAAGAGGCCGGTACTGAAGGACGCGGCTCGTCGAAGAAAGCTCGTGGGCGCGGAGGATCGTCGCGTCCTGCTACCAGGAGTGCATCGAAGCACTCGCGGGACGGCAGTCGTATTCCGCCTTTGCAGTTGACCTACGAACCTGTTTCACGAAGCAAGCAACCTGAGATTCCTCCCCCCGGACCTTCTGGGAGTCGTCCAAGCATGGAGATGCCGGATCAGCCCGTTGACAATTCTCCGATTCCTGAAATTTTCAAGAGTTGGACTACTGCAGCGGTGAAAGATTTCCGGGACGGCTTCAAGGACCTTCTTAAAGCGAAAAGCAAGCTTAAAAAGATGAAGGAGTTGGATCGCCAAGGTTCTATTCTGCACAGCATCAGGACTAAGGCGGTCGAATTCCAGACGAAGAACGACTCCGTCAAAGAGAAATCTGCAGCAGCTGTCGCGAAGATCCACTTGGAGAATCAAAAACGGCTGCAGGCGGAGTTTATCGCTTCTAAAGAACTGGAGGTTGAAGAAATTCAGGCAGCTGTCGGCACGCATGTCACGACTCTGGCGACGAAGATGGAAGAGTACATCAAGGGCCTCAGCTCCGACCCCGATCTGGTGGTTTCTGATACCGCCAAAGAACGCTATCGGCGACTGAAGGGGCGGTGCATCGAGAAGGCTCAATCTGACATCGCGGCGGCCAAGGATGAGATGACCATCCGAGAGATCGATCGACAGCATAAGCTGGCGGCTGAGGATTTGAAGAAGGCTGCTGCAGCTGAGGAGGTGCAGGAGATGGAAATGGAGCCTGCGATTGAGGAGATTCTGGCTAAGCATGCCAAGAAGATTGAAGACAAGCTTCGGCGGGAGATTACGCAGAAGCTTGAGGCCAGTCTATCTAAGAAGCTGCAGAAGAATCTTCACATCGGAGAGCAGAACTCTTCGCAGGCCGCATCCGCTGACAAGAAGCAGACGGCTCAACCTGGGAGGCAGGACGGTGCACCTGGGAAGCCTAGGCCGAAGAAGAAGCGGGGTGGTAAGACTCCAAAGAAGCAGAATTCCAGCGCCGACAAAGAGCAGCAGGCGAAAGGCCCTACCACATCGAAGGCCAAGGGACCAAAAAACGGCGGAGGCGGCCCCGGAAAAGGGCCGCACAAGAAGTGACCAGCCACGATTTAGCGCTCCGTTGGTTCGCGAAGCTAACGTTTCGGCAGGCGGCGTTACGAGTTCGCAACCGCGGAGTTCATAACCTCAGCGCCAAAGTCTTGTCCTTGGACGAGAAGAAAGCGCTGGGGCTTGGTCTGAAGTTTATCCCAACGCCCGCTGTTTCCCTTTCTACGGTCGAGTTAGATCAGCTTTGCCGACAGATTTCGCTACGTTTCTTCTTCAAGGATGCAGACCCGGCTAAGGACTATCGTTTTCGAGTGAGAAATCCGAGTTGGGCACCTGATCGGAGTGAGATTCCGGAGCAGGTTTTCAGAGATTCGTCCTCGGACCTATCTTTTCTGCTGAAAGCATCTAGGCCTCCTCGACACCGAAACATCTCGTTACGTGTTCGACAGGCCTTGCGTTCCATCGCCGCAGATCGTAGTGTGGTTATTAAACCGGCCGACAAGAACATCGGGATCACTGTGATGGATCGGGAACTTTATGTTCGTCTCTGTATGGACCATCTAGGCGACAGATCGACTTACACCCCGGTTCTCCACGATCCTACTGCCTTAGTCGTTCAGGGACTGCACGAACTGCGTCACGCATGGGGCCCTGCTTATCCCGACAGCCTTTGGAAGTATTTTCTAGACGAACCACCTGGAGGTTGGAAACCCGCAGCCTTTTACATCCTTCCTAAGCTACATAAGAAGCAGCTCGCTGGGCGTCCGATCGCCGCTTCGCATTCATGGGTTACTTCGAATGTCAGTAGATGGTTAGATGCGGAACTTAAGGCCGTGGGTGCTACGACAGCATACTTACCTCCGAGACTCTCTTTCGCTACTCTTGTCGCTGGAGGAAACTTCATTTCCTAAAGAGATTCTTCTAGCCACGTACGACGTCTCGTCGCTCTACCCCAGTATTCCTCTTAGGCGCGGACTCGATGCGGTGAGCAGCATTTTGCAACGAGGGAGTCACCACAGTCTTCAACCAGTCATGGCCCTACTGGAGTGGGTCATGATGAATTCTTACGTGGAGTTCGACGGCCACCTGTACCACCAGACGCAAGGGACCGCTATGGGAACTCCTGCAGCGGTCTGCTTTGCGGTACTTTTCATGAGCCGCCTGGATGAACTTTTGAGGGAGAGATGGTCCGGAACGCAACCTCTACGCCATGTCAGATACATCGACGATGGCCTGATTCTTTGGCCTGGATCGAGGAGTGAGTTGGAGAAGTATCTGCAGACCTTCAACGAGCTTGACCCGAATATCAAACTGACGTGGCAGATTTCGGACAGCTCAGCTGATTTTCTTGATTTGGTCTTATTCAAGGGACCGAGATTTGCTGGGCAGGGTATCTTGGATCTGAAGACATTCCAGAAACCGCTTAACCGATACCTTTATCTCCCTTATTCGTCTTTTCATCCCCGACACTGCAAGACTGGTTTCATTGCAGCTGAACTGAAGCGTTATCTTCTCCGCTCGACTTCTGCAGATACCTTTCTCGCCTCCAAGCGCGCTTTCTACCAGCGGCTACGAAGTCGGGGTTACCCCTCTGATTTCCTTCTACCCATCTTCAGGAGCATTTTCTTTCGACAACGACCTCTCCTTCTGGAACAGACTGCTGCCCGCCACGCACACAAATTTGAAACTCCCCCCGAACGCGGCCCCCTAGTCTTGAAGACACTGTTCACACCTTTGACCGGACGTCTCAGGCTGGGGGTGCTTTTGAGGCGCCTCAAAAGTCGTCTCATGTCTCGCGGTTTTTATGTGGGGAGAATTATAATTGCATGGAAGTGTGCACGTATCCTTCAGCGGTTACTCGTAAGGGCGCGGTTACCAAAGTCACTCGCCAATGCTGTCGAAGAAGTTCCCGAAGGCTGACTTGGCACCCTGAATTTGTTTCATTGCCTAGTTGGCGAACCCCTTTCCTAGTTGGATTCTGGGTAGTTGGGTTTCTTATACGTAGATCTCGAGGGTAGTCTAGCTATTTTAGCTGCTACCAGACTCTCTGTTTCTGAGTTCCGAATTGTGCTGTACTGATGAAGGCGTGATTGGGTTCGCCCATCCGCCGAAACTAGTTTACGCAAGGAGGCTTTTCGGAAGCTAAGGGTTTTTTCAGATCTGCGTTTTTCTCACCTTTTTTCACTGTTTGATTCCTTTGCTTAAGCGTCCTCTCTACTACTGCAGCCCTTCGAAACATGAGTCAGGGTGACCCAAGTACTCATGGTAAGCCTCGGCCAAGTACTCATGATAACCCTCAGCCAAGTACTCATGGTAACCCTCAGCCAAGTACTCATGGTAACCCTCAGCCAAGTACTCATGGTAACCCTCAGCTAAGTACTCATGGTAACCCTCAGCCAAGTACTCATGGTAACCCTCGGCCAAGTACTCATGGTAACCCTCAGCATTTGCTTCCGTGCATTCATTGTCCTCGCTAAATACATCCCGGTCAGTCAGTCACCTCACTCGCTTTGATATCTCTGAGATTTGAGGCGTTTCAATGCATTAGTGGGAAATCAAAGGGAGCAGTCCTCAATGAAATCAATGCATCTCCATGACTGATCAATGCATCTCTGGTGTGACTGTGCCCTCATTCCGCTCTCCATGTTCCCACTGCCCATTTACCTTTTTGTTCCAACCCTTTTTGAATTCCGCTGGACCCTGCCTGCCCTGAACCACCCCTCATGTCCCACCCACCCCTCGTGACCCGCCCTTCATGCCGCGCAGCCCATTATGAATCTGTCGTTTCGCGACAAGCATGGCAACCTGCTGCCTTTCTGGTTCCTCGTCTACCATTGCATAGGTGCGTTGCCAGCAGTGGCAGCAGTGCCAGCAGTGCCAGCAGTGCCAGCAAGGTGACTCTTGAGCCGACTCAATAGCAACCTGCTGCCCTTCTGGTTCCTCACCTACCACTGCATAGGCGCGTCTTCCTGCCAGTGATGGGCTGTTACCAGCAGCACCAGCAGCCCTGTTAGCACCACTGCATAGCTCCACAGAGGGTGCAGCATCAGCAGTGCTCTTCATTCTAAAGGACCTTCCAGTCAGTCCATTCTCCCCTCTCTTGTACCTGTCCCTCTCTTGTACCTGTCCCTCTCTTGTACCTGTCCCTCTCTTGTACCTGTCCCTCTCCTGTACCTGTCCCTCACGTCATAAGTCTCCCCACCCCGGTCCCCTCAGCCATGGTGCTCGTCATTCTCAAGGACCTTCCCCACAAGTCACGCCTCCCCTCCCATCCTACACATGCTCATCAAATCTACCCAATCGCACCCTCCCCCTGCCAAGGGAGGCAGTCCCCTCAGCCATGGTTCCCTTCATTCTCCCCTCAGCCATGGTTCCCTTCATTCTCCCCTCAGCCATGGTTCCCTTCATTCTCCCCTCAGCCATGGTTCCCTTCATTCTCACTTCCCTTCCTCCCAATTGCCGCCTCACCTCCCCTCTTGTGCTGGCCACTCACATCGCACCATCCCTTCCTCTCCCCGTCCCGTCCCTCCCCAGGCGGCACTGTCCCCTCAACCATGCTGCTCTTCATTCTCAAGGGCCTTCCTCTCACACCATTTCCTCCACTTCTGCAACTCTCCATCAAACCATCTATCCCCCCTCCCTCCTCCCCCTCCCTCCTCTCCTTCCCAGGCGAGACAGTCCCTTCAGCCATGGTACTCTTCATTCTCAAAGACCTTCCTCCCAAGTCCCGCCTCCCCTCGCACCCCTCCCTCCCCTCCTCCTCCTCCTCCTCCTCCTCCTCCTCCTCCTCCTCCTCCTCCTCCTCCTCTCGTCCCTCCTCTCGTCACGGCATTAGAACTCAGTCCTCCCGCTCTCGCACTTCCAACCTCCCCACCACCACCACCACCGCCTCCTCCGCCGCCCCTCATCCAGCATCCATCTTCTCTTCTCTCCCCAACGGCCGCCCCTTGCTCACCTCGACCCTCGACCCAGCCGCAGCAGCAGCAGCAGCTTTTCTTCTCCCCGCTGCTCCCGCCGCTGCCGCTGGCTCTGCTGCTGGTAGTGGTGGTAGTGGTAGCAGTGGTAGCCGTGGTGGGGTTGGTGGTGGGGGTGGGGGTGGCAGTGCTGGTGGCTGTGGTAGTAGTGGTGCTGGGGTTGCTGCTTTAAGAGGCTCAAGGACAGGCGGGCATGTAGGCAGTAACAGCAATACAATTGCCCGTCTCCCTGCTCCTACCCTCGCCCCTCTTCTACCCCAGTGGGTCGTTCCCCCTGAGGGGGAACCTTACTCTGTCCTCCCCCCGGCTGCTGCTGCTGCTGCCTCTTCTTTTGCTGCTCTGGCCGCTGCTGCTGCTGTGGCTGCAGCAGCAGAAGCAGCGGCAGCGGCAGCAGAGGCGGAGGAGCAAGGGAGGAGGAAAGGGAGTGGGAAGGGGCGCGGGAGAGGGAAAGGGCCCGGTGGGAGAGGGGGAGGAGGGGGTGCGGAGAGAGGGGGGAAGGGGGGAGGAGGCAGGGGAAGGGCGCGAGGGGAAGTGAGTACAGAGGGTAATGCACGAGGACCAATTAATGCAGATACAGGGGTTACACTGGCAGCAGCGAGTGGGGTGGGGGGAGGAGCGGTGGGGGGTGTTGGGGGAAGGGGAGAGGGGACTCCTGTGGGAGGAGGAAGAGGAGGAGAAGGAAGAGGAGGAGAAGAACGAGGAGGAGGAGCAGGAGGAGCAGGGGACGGTGCAGAGGGTGCAGCACGGGAGAGAAGCAAGACGAAGAAACCATCCAGAGTGAGGGTCTCGACTCACGCTCACATGCACATGAGAGCCTTGACTCACGCTCACATGCACATGAGAGTCTTCACTTACGCTCACATGCACATGAGAGTCTTGACTTCCCCTCTCTCCCCTCTCTTGTTACTCCCTCTCCCCCCTGTCGTCCCCATTCCTCCCTGTGGGTCCCCTCCTTCCAAGCAGCTTCGCATGGCCAGCTAACTGAACCCGGTAGAGACAGGATGAATGCATTGACCTGGATAGTTTCTACATCGGCAGCTGAAGCACTATCAGGTGAAGGTTCAGATGCAGATTTTGTTGCGCGGTATGGTGGGGAACGGAATCCTCTGTTCATAAGCTGCAAGAAGGGGTTGCAACTGGTGCAGTGCAGTGCTGTGCGGTGTGAAAATTGAACCGGAGCTGCTTCACGAAAATTGTAACAAGCTACAGCAGGCACGCATTTTTGACTTGGTAAGGTTGCGATACCTATGTCGGAAACAACTGGAAGCAGAAATTAAGTTACAATTCATTAAATCAATTTTAGCGAGTCGATTAATCGTGAGCATTTGGCCGAGTTGTTAAGGCGTGTGCCTGCTAAGAACATGAGCTCTGCCCGCGAGTTCGAATCTCTCAATGGTCGAGTAGAATAAATTCACTACTACCGGTTTTCTCTGCTCAAGTGAGTGGCGCCTTGTTTTTTCTGGGAAAAACATCTAGACTACTTGAAACATCACTTCAGATTCATGAATGCTGCTGATACGGATTAGGGTTGAACCTGAAGACTGGTAAAGCTGAAACATTTTTGGTACGATTTGTGTGTTGTGTGAGAATCCACGGTGGTTGTGTTGTGAAGTTCGTAGGGCACTTGTTTCCCATCCCATACCTCACACATTATTGGAGGCCGGATATTGTCCAGATCAGACACCCCTGGAAACTCAATCTTTCTTGCGGTGGAATGAGCTGTTGTGCATGTTGAAGAGGCTCATTGAGAAAGCTTGCTTTCTGTTCTTGCAAAGGCAACGGGCTTCATTACAATTGCAGTAATACAACATTCTCGTCCAACTATGGATGGATTATACATATATACAACTAGGGTGGGTGGGTGGGGAGTGGAACTGCAAAGTTCCGAAATGAAGTCGTGGGTGGAGGCCGAATGACCTCCAACCCTCGTTATGTACTCGGCGAATTGTAATTCGCCGTTGCTTTGCTTCGTGACAGTCAGCTGCGCTTTCAAAATACGCATTTTTAGAAAGTGTTACACACTTTCGAAAAATTTCATATTGAGAAAGCTTGCTTTCTGTTCTTGCAAAGTCAACGGGCTTCATTACAATTGGGTCTTCTGAGACATGTGCAGTTGGGGTGTTGAAGACGTGGCGAGTGTAGTTGCGATTGATGGCCTTGACGAAGTGCCGAGAGAGGTGGCGTTGGTAATCGCGATCTCTATGTCGATGGCGTTCGAAATGTTGTGTGTGCGAAGGTTGCGTTCTGTTAGTGTAGATGTGCGTGTTTGTTGATGCAGCAGAATAGTGGTTGCAATTGGTGGTTCTCAACCAAGGTCTACACACCCAATGGGCGGTACAACTTTTATCTTGGGATTTACCATGTGCTCTGCTGTACTCTACGCTTCCAACCGTTTGAGGTTCGGGGCTATCTACAACGTGGATGTATGGGCTGAGTTGGTAGTAGCGGGAGGGTGTGTCCGTCATTTTGGTTAAATAGGTACCGTTTTTTTTTTTTTTTTTTTTTTTCCCACACGAATTCCGTCTTTAACTCCCAACACCTAAAGCCCATTCAAGTTCTTAACGAGACGCAACTTGTGGTAGCATGCTAGTCGCAACTCCCGTGCTTTTATTTCCATCTCGGGTGCGATCTAAGAGAGTGGGATGAGCATGATGGAAACCAATCCCTTTCTCATTGCCCTTATTTGGAGAGAACATTGAATGCGATGTAGGAGTGTGTGTGAACAACCGTAGTCAAGTCAGATTCAAAATCCATCTTGAGTTGCACTCTACCAACCATTTGTAACCAGGTCACTCCAAACAATTGCTTCCCTGGAAATTGATGGGGCACCCACCAACCTTTGTTTGTCAAAAAATGTTTGAGCCCCCTTTTTTTTTTTTTTTTTTTTTTTTTTTTTTTTTTTGAACTCTTATCATATACGGTTACATCAATAGCCAAGGATGATCCATACTAACACACACATTGTTCGAAATTCAGCCCATCTTACGGCAAGCCCAACATGGGGACCCTCGGTCCCCTTCCCCCCCTTGGGGACGGCTCTCAGGCCACACGGGGACCCTCGGTCCCCTTCCCCCCCTGGGGGGCGGCTCTCAGGCCACACGGGGACCCTCGGTCCCCTTCCCCCCCAAGGGGACGGCTCTCAGGCCACACGGGAACCCTCGGTCCCCTTCCCCCCCTGGGGGACGGCTCTCAGGCCACACGGGGACCCTCGGTCCCCTTCCCCCCCCTTGAGGGACGGCTCTCAGGCCACACGGGGACCCTCGGTCCCCTTTTCCCCCCTGGGGGACGGCTCTCAGGCCACACGGGGACCCTCGGTCCCCTTCCCCCCCTAGGGGACGGCTCTCAGGCCACACGGGGACCCTCGGTCCCCTTCCCCCCCTTGAGGGACGGCTCTCAGGCCACACGGGGACCCTCGGTCCCCTTCCCCCCCTGGGGGACGGCTCTCAGGCCACACAGGGACCCTCGGTCCCCTTCCCCCCTTGGGGGACGGCTCTCAGGCCACACGGGGACCCTCGGTCCCCTTCCCCCCCTGGGGGACGGCTCTCAGGCCACACGGGGACCCTCGGTCCCCTTCCCCCCCTAGGGGACGGCTCTCAGGCCACACGGGGACCCTCGGTCCCCTTCCCCCCCCGGGGGACGGCTCTCAGGCCACACGGGGACCCTCGGTCCCCTTCCCCCCCTGGGGGACGGCTCTCAGGCCACACGAGGACCCTCGGTCCCCTTCCCCCCCCGGGGGACGGCTCTCAGGCCACACGGGGAGACCCTCTGTCCGCTCTTTTTATTGAGAGACGTCCTTGGGTGCGCGTGCAGTTTGATCCTGTAGTCCATGTAATTTCCCCGCGCGACTAGTAGAGCCTTTTATAAAAGTCTTTCCACCACTGTAGTGTTGGGCCTGATTTTCTGCCACCAAGGGATAAGAGGAGCTTATAGATTTAATAGAAAATAAACGAAGAGGACATAACGAAAATAAAACTGAAAGAAAATGACTTGCAGCACTTAGGCAACAAATGACGCCCAGTAAAACGACTAAGGCGCTGCAGTGGCAATTTCGTCACTGCCGCGCCAGCGGCCATTTCGTCCATGGCGCGCTAGTGGCGATTTCGCCACTGGCGCACGTGGCAATTTCGCCACATGCGCGCGTGTGGCGATTTCGTCCCTGGCGCGCGCCACTTGCGCCAGTGGCGATTTCGTCCCAATCGCCTGCCACTGGCGCCAGTGGCGATTTCGTCCCTAGCGCGAGCCACTGGCGCCAGTGGCAATTTCGTCACTAGTGCGTGCCACTGGCGATTTCGTCTTTGGCGCGCCTGTTGGCGTTTCGTCCGGCACACTTTGCTCTCAGTTGAGCGCCCGCTAAGTACAGTCGCACGCGTGATATTGTTGCCCTTCATGAAAATCGATAGCTTGTAGGTGAGTCGTAGTAAGTAGTTCTAGTGACAGAGGAAACTTTCGAGGTGGTTGGACGAGAATGAGTGGAACTGCAAAGTTCCGAAATGAAGTCGTGGGTGGAGGCCGAATGGCCTCCAACCCTCGTTATGTACTCGGCGAATTGTAATTCGCCGTTGCTTTGCTTCGTGACAGTCAACTGCGCTTTCAAAATACGCATATTTAGAAAGCTTGCTTTCTTGCATGTAGCAATTGGCATCGTCTCATTTCAAATGGGTCGGCTAAACCGTTTGAAAATGAGAGACGTGGGTGGAGGGAAATGACCTCCAGCCCACGTTTTGTACTCCAAAACGGGCGTTTAGCGCGGCTCGACGCTGCCAAATCCTACATTACAAGCAGCTTCGCTTTCAAAATACATAATTTTGAAAAGCGTTACAGCTTTTAAAAATATACATATTTAGAAAGCTTGCTTTCTTGCATGTAGCAATTGGCATCGTCTCATTTCAAATGGGTCTTCTGAGACATGTGTCGTGCTGGTTGGCGATGTCGTGTCAGCGCCGCGGAGTGTTGCGTCGGTGACGAGGCTCTCGCCGGATCTTGGACATGTCGAGGTGCTCCAACCAACTGTTCTATCGCCAGAGTGATGTACATCTCCTTGGCCGTATCGCTGCGCCACCTCCCCAGCTGTTTCAAAATGCGATCAGGTACTCCTGCGTTGGCGGCGACGGTTGCTGCGCCTTTGCGGAATGAGTGGGTTCCGAGGTGCTCGAGTCCTAGGCCAATCTTGTGAAATGCCTCCTTGCACCAATTGCGGATTGTTGTATAGGAGGGTGGTGTTGTCGTACTAACGCGACCCGTAGTGTCTGAACCAAAGACTCGTATCAACGGGCCGTATTGTGCGCGGCCATAGCCTGCCAACTGGATGAAGCGTTTGGTGCATTGTACGGGGCAGAAAGGGCCCGGACTGGCGGCTACTGGGACCCATGCGCCTTCTCCTGCCTGGTCTGTTTTAGAGTGGGGGATCAGGAGCCACATAGCGTCTTTCTCGAACTCAATCTCGTGCCAATTGAGTGCGACGAGGTCTGAGTATCGCAGGAAGCCGGCGTACATGAGTAGTGGGATGAGCCCCTTCTGAAACTCGCCCGGGTTGTTCGATTTCAGGAATTCCGCCGCCATTGCATGTACTTGATGCAGCGAGACGGGATCCTTGAGTCGTTGAGGTCGCGGACAATGTCGCTTGGCGAAGTCTCGCACATTGGATGTGAACGGCCCGGTCGACGGGCACGTGGCCCCAATCATCCGATGCGCGAAGCTGACTGCCGGGCATGTCAGTTGTATTGCTGATATGGTGGCCTTCTGTTGAATCGCGTGGACCAGGTATAATGCGAGTGTCATGTCTGTGCATGGCAGGAACTGCAGTTTCACGTCTATGCAGAATGCTCGGAACTTGGCCCAGTATGGTTCGTAGGTGCGAATGGTGGAGTCAGCCCTTGTATGCGTCGTTATCCGAAGCAACTCTTGCTTGAGCCGCTCGAGCAATCCTGCACCAGATGTGTGAATGGTCAGGTGGCGAAGGACACTTGTAATGCAAGAATCGG